CCTCAACTACTTTCTCTTTCAGAATTTTCTCCAGCACCTTGCACACTGCAGATGTTAAACTAACAGGCCTGTAGTTACCCGGATCACTTTTTTTCCCTTTCTTGAAAATAGGAACCACATTAGCTATTCTCCAGTCTAACGGAACCACCCCCGAGTTTACTGATTCATTAAATATTATCGCTAATGGGCCTGCTGCATTCCTGCACGTGCCGTCTCTTGGCCAGAGCTGCCTGCAGAGCAGACTATCTTGGCCATGAGGGTGCTAAAGTTACACAAAATTCAGAATATATTATCTTAATACAATTGACTTAATATATCAATGTTAGTGCCTTGTTTTGTTACTCTTGAGAGTAGCTGGTATCCATAAATTATATTGTTATCTTATAGCTTTCACATCATTTTGTCATGGCTTAATAAAACTGTACTAAACATGAAAAATGGTGAAATTGTAAGCAGGCAGTTTTATGTTTGATGTGCAGTTAGCAGCAGTTAGTGCTGTTCCCAGGGTGGTGCTAACTGAACTGATCCAAACATACATACAGTGATGTCCTTGCAGAATTGGATGTTACACAAGCTGGTCAAAACAACTATGTTAATTTTAGCGCCACTGAAAACAGGAAAATAGCTTATGACAAATTATAGAAGATAAAATATTATAATATAAAAAGTCCAGTTTTAAAAGGACCTGTGCAGTCAGAAGTATTGAGCGGACAGCAAAAGTCCGGTTATCATAATTTTCTGTCATTTTCTAGCATCCTGTAACAAATAAAACCTCAAATTAGTGTAATACATCTGTCAAAACAGTGTATTTAATCGAATCTTTGAATAACTTTTTCAGTGCACAACCACAAGCAGTGGGGAGCAACTGGCCTTTAAAGAATTAAGTGCCTAGCCAGCAGGCGTCAGCCGTCAGCTATGTGCTTAGTATTGTGGCATCCACAGTCGACATTGTTTTATCTGGCGGCTAAACTGTGCTTCATTCACACTAATACAAGGTTAAATGGCAGCACCTGAAAAGAAAAAGATCTGAAGGCTGTGCTATTTTAAAGATGAGTGGTTGCAACCCCCAGAGTATTGGAATTGGCTTACAAAGGCAAGTGAAGACTCAGGATATTGTTCTATTTGTCGTGTTTAATTCATGGTTAAGTTTGATTCTATAAAAGCTATAAAGCAACATGCAGAGACAAAGGGTCACAAAATCAAAGTACGAGCACAAGTACAGTCCAGTACTGTCAATAAATTCTTCATAAAGGCTGATACCTCTGAAGAACAACACAAGTGCATGGCTGAATTGCTTTTAATATATAATCGAGTTAAACACCACCACAGCTACCATCCTCAAGATTGTGGAAATAAGCTGTACTGCTCCATTTTCACTGATTCCAAAATTCACTGTGGAAGGACAAAAGCAGAGGCTTTGATCGAGAATGTATTAGCACCCCATTCATTGAAACTCGCTGTGCAAGACATTGGATCAGCATCGTTCTCAATAGCAACAGATGCTTTTAATAAAGAGAATACAAAATTATTCCCAGTTGCCGTCCGCTACTTTAATAAAGATAAGGGAAGCTGCACATGTATCATAGACTTTTTCGAAGATGCAGATGAAACATCAGAGGCAAGCGCAAACAGCTTAAGAAGTTGTCTTCAAAATGCCAGTCTGATACATAATAAAATTGTGGCATATGGAACAGACAACGCATCTGTCAATTTTGGAAAACACAAATCTGTTTTCATGCCCCTAAAATGAATGTTGGATTTACCAAACCTTGTGCCGGGGCATTGCAGCTAATTCTCGTCCAGTGCAAAGAATATTAGTGAACTTAAAGAGTTCTTTGATTTCTTGGAGACAGAATATTCAGAAATTTTACAACATGTACCTACACATTTTTTGATCCTTTACACTACCATAGACAACTTACTGAAGAATTGGCCTGCACGCACATCTTACTTTGTGAACAAAGGGAGGAAAAAGTGAGCTGTGCAATACGGGCCTTTCTTTCTGAGCAAGAAGATGCAGTGTCCGATGATGAAGTTATTACACTTGCTAAGCTCTACATCTACTTTGTGCACAATATTATGAGCCAATTTAACAACACCATAAAGGTTCTTGAAAGTGATTACATTTAGGTAACTGAACTGTATGCTACATTCAACAAGCTGAGAAAAGAGATTCAGAATCGACAAGAGAGAGGCTTCTATGGGTACAAGGTGACAGTTCTGCTGCCTGATGAACAGAATACATTTGTTGGAGATGCCCAACGGGCTTACACACGCGTACTACAGTACCTGGAAAAGTGGTTTATTTCCGCAAAAACTCTGCTTCCCCAATCAGCTGAGGCTTGCAGCTCTCCCTAGCCGCAGCCCTCACACAGCCTCAGCCCTGTCCCAGGGCTGATTTTGAACCCTTCAGGGCAGGAGCAGATGACCACCCCTCTACATGGACTGATGAAAGGAATCGGCTCCAAGTGGACATGGTAAAAGCTGAGCTATTCGTGCACTTCAACTAGAAAATGACATGCTGAGTTTGCTGGATTTTTGAAGACAGAAGCAGCTAAGGAGCTTGTGGGGGCAGCAAGAAAAGATCAGAAGTATAAATTTAAGTAGTTTCAATTGCCACTCTCATGAAAGTTCTTCATGGCTGTGCTAGGGAGTTTCTTGCAGTATTTTTGTTTTATTTTGTTTTTTTAACTTCTGAAATATAAAGATACAAAGTTTGGAAGAAATGATTATGCAGCATCTGGTGACGTTCAAAAATTTAAAACTTGGCACCTAACTGTACATTAAAGTGCACACAAAAAAGCAACCTGATTTTCAGAGGTTTTGTGGGTCTAATAAACCTACTTAGCTTTATTAAGGTGTCCAATTGAGATGCCTAATTTTAGTCAATGAGGTTTGAAAAGTTTTATCTAGGTCCTTTAGACTTGATAAATGATTAGGTTTCAATATACCTTTATTGATTCTGTTCTAATGTTTTTTGTTATCCCTGAAAAAAAATTAATTAAACATCTATCTCAGGTTTATGCAAATATTATTCCACAGATCAGATCAAATCAAAAAATAAAATCTCACCATCATTTTCCTGTGTACTATGTTACCAGGCTCTAATTTAATTATAAGTCAATGGGGAGATTAAGTGAAATCAGGAAAAGCTCAATACAGTTGTACATTGAAAGGGAAAGAATGGGAAAGGGGAGTGTTAAAAGGCTGAGAGTGCTAACTATGCTCCTTTTCTCAGCCAGAGCCCAACGTTGTGCCCAACTGGACAAGCAAGCAGGCTCCACGTCAGCTCCTCGCAGCCTGGCTCTGCAGGCAGCAGGTGAGTCCCGGGAGAGGCGGAAGAGAGTGAGGGTGGATGGAGGAAGAGCAAGCGATGGAGGGAGGGGGAGAGGAGTGAACAGGGGTGGGGTCTCAGGAGAAGAGGTGGGGCAGAGGGCGGGGCAAGAGTGTTCGGTTTTTAGCAATTAGAAAGTTGGCAACCCTATCCAGGGGCCCTGCTGCCCCTCATTTTCCCCATCCACCTTTCACAGTGTCTCTGCTGCTCCTCATATAGTCCCTGTTTAGCCTCCTGAACCAGAGAGTGGCAGCCATTTTGCCTATGGGCATGGCTTCAATCTCACCTGAAAACAGGAGGAGGTGGCAGCCAACTTTATTAAGTGGGTAGCCTCATTCCATGTGCAGATAGACTGTAGAGAAATGGTGGCCATCTTTCTGGTTTCAACCCCAGTGACAGTCATAGGTGATAGAGCAACAGAGGGTCCTGTGGCACCTTTGAAACTAGGTGATAGAGCCATTTGGAATAAGGAAAAAATTGTGACTTGGTGCCTTTTACTTGTCTCATGAAAACATGATAAAAACCACCCCAAAATTACTAGAGTGCAAGAGCTGGCCACACTAGGGTCAGCTAACTTTGCCAAGTGCTTTTGAGAAACATGTTTAGGGTGACATGGTGGGGAACTTGCTGTAATGCCAAAAAAACCACACACGCTGTATACAATTTATGTAAACACACATTTCATACCATGACATGCTAAAAAGGAAATGCTAGAAAAGGAATGTGAATTTTTTTTAAAAACAGGACATTGAGACAAAACCATAATCTTTTGACCATGCACAGAAGGAATTGTCAATAGGAATTTTGTACTAATGTAAGGCATAAAATATGGCTCTAAGTGCTTCATAATCATAACAGCAGCAATTTGGTAACATCCTCATTTACCTTTCATTACTACATTTCAGCATCTAGCAATTTGTTCAAAACACGTGGAAACATAATTACGCTTAAAAAAATCACATCCTTTTCTAAATATACTGTGCATGTCAACATTATCAATTAAAATACTGCTTAATTAAAATACTTCTTAAAATATAATTTAAAATGCAAATGCAAATCTGATGTGTCAAAAATGCATGCTGTAGGGCTTAGACCCTATTTTATTGTCCTACTCCGCCCCCCCCCATGAAACAAGTGCACTACAACTTCTCATTTGAAAAGACTGCAGCCAATATTTATATTTTTTGTTGTAACAGCAGGACTGCAAGTTTAATATATAGTTTTTCTGCAAGTGATGGTCCCTATATGTATTCTAAACATGGTTGCACATGCGCGTCATGTGCCGGAAGGTTTTCTTAGCAGTGTCCACTGACCCGCACATGCGTTGACAGGTGTAGTATGACTTCTATATTTGGGGAGGGAGCAAAAGGTTTAATACTATTAATTAATAATAGGCATAGGTCTATCTTCTGGATTTACTGATTTTTAGTGGTACTTAAATTACAGTATACTTGAAATCACAAATACAGTATACGTTCATTATTTAATCACCCTTATTTGCCATGTTTACCAACTACCACTTAAAAACCAACATTAGCATAAAACAAATTCTTTAATTAATAGAACCAAGCACTTTACTCAAGTTAAAACTTGTAAAGGTCACAAAGTTAATCTCAAGAACAAACATTTAATAACCACTTTGTATTTTATTAACCTTACTAAACGGAAATGAAATCCTTACATGACATATGTTAAAATATATGTCTTTCAGAAAGACCAGTAAATCAATTTTTTTTCTTTCCCTATGTCACCTTTTTAGAAAGGAATAGACCCTGTTCTCCTGGGATGGCTACTATCTTTTGTTGTTATTCAATAAAACAAGTCTAAACTGTTTTCTCAGCCCAAAACACAACCTGTCCAGTATAATTGTAGACCTATGCCACAACCCACGAACCATCGCCCGCTGCTGTCTCTCTCTCCTTGGACATATAGCAGCCTGTACCTCAGTGACATTGCACGCACATGCATTGCCTCCAGCAGTATCTCCTCTCCATCTACAGACCCCACATGGACCATTTGTAGGCTAAAGTCATAATTTCCCAGATGATTCTGTCCTCTCTCCAGGGGCAGATTAGTCACTGGGCCGACGGGGCCCATGCCCAACAGCCCTGGCCAACTGGGGGGCCCCAGAAGAATGGGCACCTCCATGCCCTGACCCCATTCCCTGGCAGGAGCACTGGGTGGGCGGGGGAAGCCCCCGCTGTGTCCCAACCCCACTCCTCGGCAGGAGCACCTGGGGTGGGGGGAAGTCCCAGCCCCAGCCCCTGGCTGTGGCCCTGGGACTGGATGAGCTCTAGCTCCCTGCTGCAGCCTCGGGGCTGTGGGAACTCTCACTCCTTGCTGTGGCCCCAGGACTGGGGCGGGGGGGAACAGAGCTTCTCCAGTCTTGGGAACACAGTGGGGGGGAGCAGAAAGAAGCAAACAGTCCGTGGGTGGAACAGGGCAGGACTGCAAGTGGAAGGGGTGGGGTGGGGAGGGGCCCCCCACTTGCTGTAGCCCAGGGCCCCACAAAACCTTAATCCTCCTCTGCCTCCCTCACATGGTGGACTGACCCTTCCAAAACCATGGTTGGTACCTCCTTCAACGTTCCACCCCGCAGACAATCACAACGGATGCCTCCCTTGTGGGTTGGGGAGCCCATCTAGACCATCACACAGCCCAGGGGGTCTGGACACCTTGAGAGTCCAGGATGCGTATAAACGTTCTGGAATTGAGGACAGTCCATTGTGTGTGCCAGGCATTTCTCCCTCTCATTCGGTCCCAACACATTGAATTAGTCTCCCACAACATCACAGCATTAGTATACATCAGACAGGGTGGCGCAAAGTTTCCCTCCCTCTGTTCCAAGTCCATTCACCTTTGGAATTTGATGCAGCAAACACAATGTGATGATCCAAGCCACATATCTCCCAGGCATTCAAAATTTCCTGGCCAACGCACTCAGAAGGACATTCTATTCAACCACAAGTGAAAACTGCACACTGCCACACTCTGATACCTCTTCCATGAATGTGGCACCCCACATTGGGATCTGTTTGCTACTCAAGAGAACTGCAAGCTGCTCCTTTATTGTTCCAGGGGAGCCACAAGGGAGGACTCACAGGGCAATGCTCTTCTCCTCCCCTGGATATGCGACCTCCACTACGCCTTCCCCTCTGTAGTGGGGCGGCTCCCCCACTCCAGCAGAAAAAGGGTTAAAGTCAGCCCTGGGAGACGGTTGTGGCTGAGAGCTGCTAAGATGGGCTGATTGGGGAAGGAGCCTCAGCTGGGCCACGCCCCAATCAGGCCACACCTGGCCTGTATAAAAAGGCTGTGAGCCAGAGGCCCAGAAGTTCTCTCTCCAGATTGGGCGAGACCATGGCCTGGCTGCCTGCCTGCAGAAAGGGTGCTGGAAGTGAAGCAGGGCTGGGGAGAGCCAGAGGAGCAGGGGAGCTCTGGCCTGGAAACCCCTGCAGGCCTAGTATAAGGCCAAATAGGTACTGGGGTTGCAGGGGCAGCCCAAGGGTAGGTGGAGGCAGCAGGTCCAAACCTCCCTTGTTGGTGATGAATGGCTTTTACACTGCAGTCTGCCCCAGGGAGTGGGGGCTTGGTGATGACTGGCAGTAGCCCAGACTGAGGCAAGGTGGGGATTAGAGGGTTGGGGGTTCCCTAGGGAGTGGAGACCCAGATCTGTGGGGGTACTGCCAGGGGGAAGCATCCCAGCCTGAAAGGGGCACCGGGGTCCAGGAGGGACACGGGGCCAGCGGCAAGCTGGACACCGGCCTGCAGAGGGCGCTCAGGCTGGAAAACAGCTAATTCCCTGAGACCAGCAGGAGGTGCCGCAGGGGGAGACCCACACCTTTACACACACACACCCCATCCCCATCCTCCTCCCCTGGACATGCAACGTCCACTATGCCTTTCCTTCCCATCCCCCTCCTCCTGCAAATGAAAAGCAAGATTTGCTGTTATTGTGCTACCATAATACTTATAGGCCTGATCTGGCCCTGTCAGTTTTGGTACATGGACCTCCTCAGACTTTCCACCCACGAATGCTCCTGGATCTCCTCACAAAGATTGGGGCCAGATCTGGCATCCCCATCTCACAGCCTTTTTGGATGGTGCTCAAGGGTATACAGCACATGCTCCTCCCCAGTGTGACTCATCCTTATCCAAAATCGGGGCATCCACCAGGGCCTGCTACCAAGCCAAATAGAAATGTTTCACCTCCTGGGCTCACCACCGAGTACGATATCTGTACCTGTCATCTACTACCTTCTCGAGCTCTAAACATCAAGCCTTTCCTCAGCCTTTACAAGTCCATTTGGCAGCACTTAGTGCCTTTCACCCCACTGTGGATGGCACCATCCATGTGTTTACACACCATACCACCGTCCATTTCATGAAAGGTCTCCTCAATACCTTCCCACCAGTACTCAAGCCCACACCCCCGTGAGACCTTAATCTCATTCTCTCCACCCTCATGAAGCCACTGGCAACGGGCTTCCTCTCCCATTTCTCCATAAAGGTGCTGTCCTTAGCGGCATTAGCTCAGCCAGACAGGTCAGTGAACTGGTGGATGGTTTCCTTACAGCTACACCCTAAATTGCTCCCGAAGGTAATGTCAGAGTTCCACCTAAATCAGTGCATCCACTTACATGTCTCCTGTCCAAAACCTCACGCCTCCCACATAGACAGGATGCTGCATTCCCTTGACGTCTGCCATGAAATGGCATTCTGCCTCCATAGGACCTGCGCCTTTTGCACATTGCCAAAACTCTTTGTAGCCACTGCCAACCAATCGAGGGGCACTGGAATGGAGGGCTCAAGGAGGCCATGCCCCCCTCACTTTTAAAAGTGGGAGCACTAGTCCCTCCCACTTTTTACAAACGAAAACACCTTAGGGTGGGGAGCACCAGGCTCACTCTGCTTTGGAGAGACACCACATCAGCAGCAGCACCCGCCCCTGTTCCAGGGTGACCAGATGTCCCAATTTTATAGGGACA